CTCAACATGGAACTTAAGAAGAAGAATTAGAAAGAATGAGAAGTAAGCGTCCAAAGTTAGCATGAGAAGGGGTATATTCATACTTACCTTGGAAAAGGAAAGATCATTTCCACTATTTGAACCATAGTTGCGATCAATCATAAAGACGAAACACACAATAAGCTACTAATACTACCAAGGATTCTTGACAGAAGCTTAGCACAATGAGTGTTGAGGTAAAAATCCATCTCAGTTAAAGTCAATCTTAAGTAATCATTTAACAAATGAATCTCCTTAAAACTAAATTTTGAGAACTCGTTTTTATTATGTAAATTTTTATTATTTAGCATATGATATAAGATAGAATAAGAGCTGCAGCATTATGAGAAGTCATCTCCTTCCACTCATGTGGTTGGATGACAGACGTCATAGAGATAATTTCCTAATTTGATGAAATGCTCGAGGAAGAGGAAGGAATGCTAGAGGCATTGCGTGGTGACAAAAAGATGAGAATTGCCTATAGAGAAGGGATGGATGGACGAGATGTTACTGATTATGGGCTCCAAACGGGTCTTGGAGTTGAAAGAGAATGAAACTGTATATCATGAAAGAAAGAGAGGAGCTTATTATTGAAGAGGATGGTTACAACTAACTACCAGACTGGTAGTATATATGGAAACCGTATGCAGACATAAAAGGCTAAAACTAATTCAAGCTTAATGGGCCTAACCCATTTAATTGCAGAATTATTATTTACAACATGCTCCCTTAATTCTGCAATTCACACATAATATCTATGCTCCCTTAACTTCAACAACAGAGAACATGTTCAGTCTTTTCCTTAGCTCCGTGAATCTCTGAATTGATAGAGGTTTTGTCAATATGTCTGCATTCTGCTCCTCAGTTCTGCAATGCCAAACCTTTATCTTCCCTTTATTTACTTTCTCTCTTAGGAAATGAAATCTTGTATCAATATGCTTACTCCTCCCATGTGCAACAGGATTCTTAGCAAGACTTATGGCAGACTTGTTATCAATCATTAGGTCTACTGGTAACCGTCCCCTGATCTTAATCTCACTTAACAGTGATCTGAGCCACAATGCTTGACAAGCTGCATAACAAGCAGCGATGTATTCTGCTTCACAGGTTGAAAGACAAACTGAATTGTGTCTTTTGGAACACCAAGACACTGGTGCATGCCCAACTGTAAATACATATCCATAAGTACTCCTTTTGTCAATATCTCCATTCCAGTCCGAATCAGAATATCCAACAAGCAATTCTCCTTTCAACTGATTTCTGTTAGGCAACAAAATACCAAAGTCTGCAGTTCCCCTCACATATCGCAGAACTCTTTTTACTGCAGTAAAATGGGATATTCTTGGACTATCCATAAATCTGCTCAAAAACCCTACACTATAGCATATATCAGGTCTGCTATAGCATAGGAATCTCAAACAACCAATTATTTGTTTGTATAGAGTAGCATCAACCCTCTTCTCACTTTCATTTTTTCCAATCTTCAAATTTGTTTCAGCGGGTGTAATCACAGCATTGCATTTCTCCATCTTGAATCTTCTCAACACATCCTCAGCATACTTCCTTTGATGAAGTATGACTCCATTATCAGTATATGAAAACTCTATACCAAGGAAATAGGAAAGATCTCCTAAGTCACTCATTTCAAATTCTATTTTCATTTCTTCTTTGAAAACTGAGATGATCTTACTGCTACTGCTGGTGATTAGGAGATCATCCACATAGAGGCAAATGATAAGTACATCTTCGTCAAACTTCTTTGAATAAACACCATATTCAACTTTGCACTTTGAGAATCCTTGTTGCACCAGAAATTTGTCAATTCTCTTATTCCAGGCTCGGGGTGCCTGCTTTAAACCATATAATGCCTTCTTTAGCCTGAAGACCTTTTCTTCATTCCCTTTTATTTCAAACCCAGGAGGCTGTGTAACATACACCTCTTCTTCCAAAGGCCCATTCAAAAACGCAGACTTCACATCCATTTGTTGTAGTGACCAGTTATTCAAGCATGCATAGGCTACCACAGTTCTAATTGTTTCAAGCCTTGCAACAGGAGCATAGACTTCCTCATAGTCAATTCCCTTCTTTTGCAAAAAACCTTTTGCCACTAATCTGGCTTTATGCTTAGAAACAGTCCCATCTGGTCTCAACTTTGTTTTGAATATCCATTTCACAGTTATAGGTTTTTTGTTCACTGGTAAATTACACAGCTCCCAACTGTCATTCTTGTAAATAGAATGAAGTTCTTCTTCCATTGCTTTCTTCCACCTGTCATCCTCCAGTGCTTCCTCTACAGTCAAAGGTTCAGTATCCACAAATAGGGCAAAGTGCACTAGATCTCCATCATTATTAACTTCGTCATCTCTGGTCATTTGATAATCATTCAACCTTACTGATTGTGTCATGTTTCGTGTTGGTCTTCCATTGTTTATATTTGAATCATACCTCACTTCTTCATCATTGTCACTTCCTGCTGACATCTCAAATTCCAGATCAGAATCAACTTTTGTATGAGTAGATTTCTCCCTTTTCTGAGATTCATTTTCCCAATTCCAACTCTGGCCTTCATCAATAACCACATCTCTACTAATCACAATCTTCTGTGAGACAGAATCATACAGTTTGTAGGCTCCAGTTGAGTGATAACCAACCGGGATCAGCTTTTCACTTTTGTCACTCAGCTTTCTTCTTTTCTCATCTGGGATATGTCTATAACCAATTGAACCAAACACCTTTAGGTGTTTCACACTGGGCTTCCTTCCTGTCCACGCTTGTTCTGGTGTAATATTCTTCAGCCTTTTAGTTGGACACCTATTCAGAATGTATCATGCAGTAGTTACTGCTTCTCCCCAAAAACAATGAGGCAACTGCTTACACTTCATCATACTTCGAGCCATATTTAGAACTGATCTATTCCTCCTTTCTGCTATGCCATTGTGCTGAGGTGTGTATGGTGGAGTAAGTTCATGCACAATACCCTCCTTTTCACAGAACTCTGAGAATTCTCTATTCACATACTCACCTCCTCCATCAGTTCTAAAAACTTTCAAATATTTCCCAGTTTGTCTTTCAACCATGTTTTTGAATTTAATAAACATGTCAAACACCTGTGATTTCCTTTCTATCAAATATATCCACATCTTCTTACTATAATCATCAATGAAGGACACAAAAAATTTGTTACCTCCCAATGACATTTCTTCAAATGGACCACACACATCTGAGTAAACAACTTCCAGTACCTCTCCAGATCTTGTAGGCAAGTTTGTTTTGAATGGATTTCTGGATTGTTTCCCAACCATACAACTGTCACATATTTGTTTTGTGGTCTTCAACACTGGTAGTCCATGTACCATCTCCCTTTCAGAAAGTTGACACATACTCCTGAAATTCAAGTGCCCTAACCTGAGATGCCAGAGCCGGTTCACATCTTCTACTGCAGTTGAAAGACACATTGCATCTACAGGTAGGATTTCAATCTGAAAGGTCCTGTTATTCTGGAGTGGCGCTTTGAGTAAGATCTGATTATTAAGACTGTATACACTCATCATATTGTCCTTCAGGTTTACAGAGAAACCCTTTTCTACCAGTTGACCAACACTTAGGAGATTATGTTTCATTTTGGGAACAAACAAGACATCTGAGATGTAAGATATCTTACCATCCTTCCTCCGAATCCCAATTTTCCTTTTCCTTCAGACATTACAGTACTATGGTCAGCAAATTTCACTTTATTTTTAACCTTATCATTCAATTCCACAAACCAGTCTCTCCTGCAACTCATGTGATTCGAACAACCAGTATCTAAATACCATGAGTTTACAGTATCATTTACATAATTAGAGACAGTGGTTACCATCAAAAGCACATTATCATCATCTGAATCCTCCTTCTGAGCAATGTTTGCTTCATGTTGATCTTGTCTAGCTGGTCTGCCCCAACATTCATTTGAATAATGTCCATACTTCTCACAATTGTAGCATTGAATATTTCCTTTGTCAAAGTAACCACGTCCCCTTCCTCGATTAGGCTTTCCTCTCCATGTTTGATTATTGCCTCTCCAAGAATTGTCATTACCTCTCCCAGAATTGCCTCCTCTGTAAATACCACCTCCTCGTCCTCTGGACTGATTCGTGTCATTTCCTATGCCTTGATTGTTAGTACCACGACCTCCTCTACCACGAAATCCTCTTCCACGGAATCCTCGACCACGGCCCCTTCCTTGATTTCGTTCTGGCTCAGAATCGTTGGCCTTTGACGTCTGTGTCAATAAGGCTTGATCAGTCGTGATCGTTGAGGAATCTCGCTCAATAAACCTTTGTTCATGAGCTCGTAAAGATCCCAACATTTCGTCCAGGCGAGTTGTATCGAGATCTCTGTTTTCTTCAATTGTGACTGCAATAATTTCATATTTAGGAGTCAGAGTGCGCAAAATCTTCTCCATGATTGTGCGTTCCTTCAAGATGTCACCGCAGGATTTCATGGAATTGGTAACTACTTGAATTCTGGCAAAGTAAGTATCAATTGTTTCTTGGGGCTCCATCTTCAATAATTCGTATTGCCGCCGCAACGTCTGGAGACGAACAGCCTTCAATCTTTCAACTCCGGCATAACTCCTCTCAAGCGCGTCCCAGGCCTCCTTTGCGCTTTTTGCAGAAGATATTTTCTCAAAATTGGTATCGTCAACACACTGTTGTATGTAAAATAGAGCTTTGTAATCCTTCTTCTTCGACTCTCTATATGCGGCTCGTTGAGCCTCAGTAGCATTTCCGGACAATTCTGCATATCCTTGCAACACAATGTCAAGAACTTCTTGAAAACCAAAAATCGTCTTCATCTTAACACACCACCGATCGTAAGCATCTAGATCTTTACTATTCAACACCGAAAGGTTTCCAAGCAGATTAGAGTTGCTACTGTTCGCCATTATCGTGGCTCTGATACCAGTTCTTGGAGTTGAAAGAGAATGAAACTGTATATCATGAAAGAAAGAGAGGAGCTTATTATTGAAGAGGATGGTTACAACTAACTACCAGACTGGTAGTATATATGGAAACCGTATGCAGACATAAAAGGCTAAAACTAATTCAAGCTTAATGGGCCTAACCCATTTAATTGCAGAATTATTATTTACAACAACGGGCAGTAACATATAGACAAGTAAATTGAACTTCATGCTATATAAAGTCTTCCTTTTGTGTCCACAAAAACAAATCAAAAGGTTTTTACAACAAAAAATTAAGGTAATAATGAATATTAAAAGGGCCTATCGACATCCCAAGTTAGCTCTTCCTTCTTCGTTGATGGTCTTATTTGTGCATAGCTTCTGAAGATCAATGTAGCCAATAATGGTATCCTCAAAGTCAACACCTTCGAGATGAGCATTACTAAAAGTAGAACCAGACAGAACCGTATTCTTAAAGGAAGCTCCTTGGAGGTCGGCCTTCTCAAAGTTGACACGATCAAGAACAGCATTTGTAAAGTCAGTGCCTGTAGAACAGAGCTTTTGTTATTCAATCTTCAAAAAATGGACCATATTTAATTCTTCTCGAAGCTACTTTAATTCTTCAAATTCATCATATTTAACTTGCTCCATTTCTTTTCTACATTGATAAAAAAAACTAACTTATGTTTTAAAAAAACTTTTTATGATGAACCTAAAGAAACAAATGTTTTTTATTTATAATCTGTTATTTGGGGTGGTGGCGGCATGCACGGGTGGAATAAATGACAATAGTAAGATACAGAGTATTTATTTACCCTTAAAACTAGCTCCAACTGCATAAGCCTTTGACATTACAACTTCGGACATGTCTGCACCATCAAACTTGGCATCTGACATCAGCGCTGCCGAAAGAGACTTCCCCTTAAGGTTGGTTTTGTCATTTGAGTAGTCACAGAAACGCAGATCAAGTGGTTTGTCATAAACACCATTTGCTTGACCTATCGTGTTACCAATAAATGCCCTCTCACATCTGTTTGGGTCCGTTGACAAAGGTGGCAACCTCTGAAAATTCGGTGAGATCATGTATTTGGTTTGGATGAAATCCAACTCAAAAAATAACACAAATGCACTATGCCTTTATATTATGAAAGCAAATACGCTTCCTGTGGTGGAAAATACTATTAGAAAATGATTTTTGTTCTTTCATCCGAAGGACTTTATTCTTTATTTAAGTGACCTGGAAGGAATAATGAATGGGGATCTCATTATATTATACCCATTTATTTTTTAATTTATACATGAATCGTATGTTTGTAACAATGGGGACAAGATTTTTCCAATTCTAATCGATTGTGCGTATCGTGTCGGTGATTCACTAAAATACCCTTTACGTGTCGGTACTATTTGATTCACTAAAATACCCTTTACGAGTCGGTTTATGAACATTAGAGGATACTACGAAAATGGTGTCTTAGTCAATTCCATATCATTCGCCAATTGTTTCCCTAAAACCCTAACCTTTCACTTTGTGTAACTTTTATTAATACGAGTGTTTTGTGCAAGTGTTGCTATGTCCCCAATACAATATGCATGATCACAAAGCACCAAGTAGTAAGATTAACATCAAACCTAAATGAGTCAAAAATTAGCCTTGAGAGACCATTCATAGTTTTATGTAAATTGTAAGAGAATTGAATGTCTACAGAGAAAGGTAAGTCAAACAAGTTGGATAGTAGTAGCATTGTATGGATGCATGGCGCTTGAGGAGAAGGAGGCTTCAGCTCTGGCCCTTTCCTGAGTGGGGAGACAGTTTGCCAATGAATCATCTCCTTCCTGAACTGCCACTGGCGTTGACAGATTCGTCAAGTGGAACAAAGAGACCAATATCCCGTTGACTACTGGGTGAAATTAGAGACAACATGGATGGATGTGGCCAACCGCTGTTGGATGTTATGAACTACCTTGAAAAAGCATGTGGCGTTAAACTGGTTGAAGAGGGATGCACAAGTTGGGATTCTGGTTAAAGGACAATGGATGAAATCTTCAAATTAATTTTCCTAATTTCCATCCTATCTCTTGTGCATTTAGATTAAGTCTAGCCGGTGATAACTCCAGTTCCATCATTCCATGGAAGTTTCTTAGACTCGTACCAGAGAATTCTATATTTGATCATTCGGGATTAATAATAGCTCTCCTCCACACAAAAATGGAGGAAAAAAAGCCTAAAGTTTCATTTTCACTTTTAACATCCAATATCTAACACTTGTAATTCTGAAGAGCACTTACATGTTGCAATAATCAGAAATACATTTCAAAATTGTTTTTTAAATAAAGACATTCTTAGAACTGCAACTTCAATTTCAGAATGAAGTGCGTAGTAGTATTGAAGAAAAAATCAGTACTTAATCATTACCTCGCTAGCAGCTATAACAGGGGAAACAGCACCAACTACCCAAGCAGCAAGAATGCTACAAGACACCTTTCTCAGTTCCTCAGACATTTTTTCCTTGGGATGTGAATTCTCCCCCAAAGCTATTTCCATAGGTCACCAAAGAAGCATACTCCCCATTTACTTTTGGTGCAAAAAGGTGATAGTACAGAGTAATAATTAAATTAGAGATTGAAAGGAAACCCTTTACCTGAGCATCTTATTTGTGAAGGCGAGCGGAGATGTAGAGGATTACAGAGAGAAAATCTCTTTGAGCCATGAAGAAAAGATTGAGACTGAAATTTTTGCGTAGGAGAGGGAGAAGGAGAAAGGAATGCCATTCTTTTGATTCACATTCACTCGCTCGTTGCCGTTGGTTTTGTCCCTCTCCTTATCCATCCGTTACTGACGTGGAAAATATTCACAAATTTAAAAAAAAAGGGTATTAAAATCCCTAACCCGCCATTTTCGCCGCTTGGCAGTTACTCTGTAGAATTCATCAATTCCCTGAAATAAACAACCGAATTACATTCCCGTTCTAAGATACGGAGAATACGAGCGTAGTACCTTACGATAAGCTGGACGGCCTGGCGCGGTGGTTCGGTTCGAGCGTAGCGGCGGCCTTCTTCTCGTCGCTTGAGCGGTTCTCGTGCGTCAACCTCGCAACCTACGACACCGACGACGATGAGGAGGAAGAGGAGGAGGCCAATGAATCCTCTGCTCACGGCGGTCCTCACCCCATTCATAGCTCTGCCGCTACAATCCCTACCGTCCCTTCCTCCGTCGATTAAAGAACCACTCAACCTGAAAAAAAATCGATCGTCCGGTTGGCGAAACCGCAAGGGTAATAGATCGCTAAAGAATTTATCAGCTAGTGTTCTGAAAATTTGAGATACGTATATCTTTCTTGTTCGTTTGTTTTCAATGACAGTGAAATATGTTTCTTGATGGGGGATTAGCCCTGAACATGTAAATAATAACGCTCTGATGGACAATTCGAGTTCAGAAATTTGCCGAACTTGGGTGAAAACCTAATTAACCAGATTACTCCACATAATTTAGTCTTTCCATTGAAGGTTTCTATTGAAGGTTTGTCAGAGCATCTCCACGCCTCCGACCATAAGCTAATTATTCAATCAATTATCACTCGTGCAATGACCAGACATACATTTAATAATACTCCGTGATACGTAATACTATCGTATATATAGAACAGAGCACACCAGTTCAGACCAGATCAAACTTGTATAGTTATAAAAATACAAAGAAATCAGATCAGATCAGACCAGACCAGACCAGCAAATTACAGTCCAAGTAAAAACATCCTTAATGTGCAAATGAACTCAAAGAGTTACTTCACATTAGTAAGAGTTACTTCACATTAATATAGTTGTTAATATAGATTTAATGTGCAAATGAACTCAAAGAGTATATATATATATATATATATATATATATATATATATATATATATATATATATATATATGTAATACACATAAATAATTATAATTAAGGAAAGTATATATATGACTCCTAATTGGTACGAATAATATTTTGGGAGAGTAAGGAAAAATAAAGGGAAAAAGGGGAAAATAAGCCCTCGAACTAATCGAAAAAGTGCGAATCATCCCCTTTATAGTATGCTCTGTCCGGCCGTTGGCATTTGAGGCGGTTCCTGATGGAATTTTTTATGAACTTTTTTGAGCATTTTCTTCATTAAATGTTTGAGATAACTGCGCAGTTAAATAGTGCATTATATTTCAAAAAATCATTTGACTGCCTTCCCGGATGGATTTTTACCTGAAATTTGGTATGAGCAAACTAGATTTAATGAAGAATATGCTCAAAAAAATTCATCAAAAATTCCACCGGTAACCGCCCCAAATGGCGACGGCCAGACAGAGCCTCCTATTAAAGAGGTGATTTGCATTTTTTGGTTAGTTCGAGGGCTTATTTGCACCTCTTCCCAAAAATAAACATTACAATAAGAAATTTGTACTCTACGCATTTCAAAATACTTCTTTTTAGACAACATTGGTAGTACGGTCGAGCGGTTCCACATTTTCACCGCATATGAGTATCTTCAAACTCTTACGATTTGTCAGCCTCGTTGATGCAACATATATACCGTTGACCATGTGTAGACACAGAATTTTTTAATAAAAGGCCAACATTTGAAAACTATTGACCTTAATTTTTATTTATTGTCATCGGATAAGAGGTCGTGATAGGAAATTGTCTTATTTAAAACTTGAATGGTATTCTTGAATCACATGGAGTCAAACTTAACCTTGGAATGACAACTACAAGTCCAGCATATTCCCCCTATAATTTTTGCTCCCAGAATGTGATTCACAAGGCCTATAACAATCAACCTTGTTCCATTACAAAGCCCCATAGAAGGATCAATATTCCTCAGAAGCATTATTGGAGTACCGACTTCAAGGATTGGGTCATGGTTCGGAACTCCTGATGTACGGACTTTATTGAGGAATTCTGCAGTGTGCAAATCACCCAAGAAATCAAAATTTGAGTCTGACTTGCAGATGCTATCAGAAGTCAGAACTCAAATATGTCCTAGACTCTTCCTGAACATTGAGAGATGTCATGTATTCCACAAATGCAATTAAACACAAAGATGTTGTCAATTTTTCCAATACAATAGATAATTTTTATATAAGACTATACAAAGGTGGTGTTTTTATTCCGTTTGTAATAGGATTAATTTTTTTGCTGATATTTTAATCACATTATTTTGATAATGTAGTAAATATCACATTTATTAAGTTAAATATAGTATATGAATTTATTCATTTGTTTATTATCATTATACCTAACATAAATTATACCTTTTGTAAATTACAAATATAATTAACCCAAAAATTCAGCCCCTTCAAATTTAGATAAAATCCAGATCAATTTGTTATGTTCATCCCTGATGGATAGTCTACCCGGGGGTATGTATCCGAGGGTTATTGCAGGGAATAACTAGAGAGAAGTCGGAGCAAATAAGTAAAAGAGAGAGTGTGTATTTGATGTGTATTCAACGTATTTTTTGCCTGGGTTACAAATGGGGAAATGGGGTGCTATTTATAGTAGCAATAAATGCCAGATAGGGACACATGTCACGCATCCATTGGCCGAGGGGTCACATCAAGTGGTTGGCGCTGCAATCGCATGTGGCCGCATTTAATGCGGCTGTTGGATGTGACGTCGTACTTGGTACGGTGATTCAGGCGCATGTGGAGTGGATATTATGTCGAGAAAGGTGCCCTCGGCTGTAGGTGATTAGCCGAGGGCTCTGAGTACCGGGGACCCCCTTAGTGTCGAGGGCTCTAGGTGCCGAAGGCTACTGATTTTCGCCGTTTTCTTCCAGTAACTTTGTTTGCTTGAGCTGGCCGTCCTGTGAGAATTGGAGCCTTCGGCCAGGGGGCGAAGGCGTTCCCAGCGTGCCACGTGGGTTGTTTAGCACTTGGGGCGCTGTGTTTTGGGCCTGCTGTGCTCCCTGGGCCTATCGGGCCTCCGTCAGAATAGCAGGAGTCTATGGGTCGGGGGTTCCTGGGCCATATACTCCATCAGGAGTCCCTCACTCCTTTTGCCGAAAGGTACTTGAGGGAAAATGAGTAATATGTGTTTGCCCTTTTGGTGTTGTTTCGTTGTAGTCTGTAAAGTTTGTGAGTAGTTTGTTGTGTGCATGTTTCAGCCGAGGGCAGTCCCTCAGTTACCCACATTCCGGGACTTGAGGGATCATGCTCGTTGTTGTGGGAGTTTTGTGACATTTTTTGTATTTTGAGATTTTCCCGAAGGGTCCTCCAGTCCCCCACTCCTTGAGGCACTTGCAAAGTGGTGAAAGGGAGTAGAGTAGTGTCTGCTTGCAATATAGAGTCGAGGGGTGACGCTTTTCGTTTCATTTTGGGGGGATGCCTCGTTAAAAACCTCGTTGGAAAAACCCTGTGGGAAAAAATTCCAATGAGGGAAAAAGAGTGCACCGAATTCCCCCAATGATAAGTCGAAAAGGTGAAATCCTGGCTTGGAATGGGTGGCAATATTTTTTGCCGAAGGCTATCTCTGTCTGAAGGCGCATGTGTTGATTTGCCGAAGGTTTACTGTTGTTATCCTGAGAGATGCCGAAGGGGGAGCCCTCAAATTATGAGAATGAGGGCGCGATGAATGTGAATGATATTTCCGGTGTTGCCGAGGGGTCCCTTGTTTATTTACAAGTGGGGTGCTGTGGTGCCCCGAGGGGTTCCTTGTTGCGTGGCCAGGGTTACGTGGCCCTCAGTGTGTTTGAGGGCCGAGGGTTCCCGAGGGGTGTGCCCGTTGTGAAGCCGTGGGCTTTTGGAGGAGTGAGCCCGAAGACATTCGTGATGCAGTATGAGGGGCCTAAGCCGGGAGCATCTCTGGGTAAGTGTACCCGTGAGCTCCTCTTGATGAAGTGGAGTGAAGGAGAAAGCTCGGGGGCTAGTTTCTTGGCTGATGAAGGAGTGGTCTGCCGAATATAGTCGGGAGCTCCCAGAATATAGTCGTTGTAAATAGAGCCGTTGGAATACCTAACGTCAGAGATATAGCCGTTGGGGGGCTCCACGTGGTGTGCGTTCGTTGGCTGCCTGTGGGCGGGTGTCACCAATTGGGCAATTCGACGGTTCGTAATGATGGCTTTTCAACCGGAGGCCCGGTTACCGGCCCAAGCCCGGATTTGTGGTGCCTATAAATACCCAAGGCCAGAGGACTCCCCCTTGTGCGATCATTGTTTGTTAGCGGAGCTCTGCCAAATTTTCTAGAGAGAGAAACTCCTGCCCTCGATCCGATTCTCGTTCCAAGGTCAGTCTCCCATTCGTTCCTCACCCCTCTTAGCTAGCTGTAGTTTTTCGCCTTAGATCAGGAGTTGTAGCTTAGAGCCCTTAGTACCTCGATTTAGTATAACAATGTCCTCACAAAGCGATTCTCAAGATATCTCGAGGGAGCCCTCGATGGAGGAGGAAACTGTCTCTGACGTGGAGTCCACAAGTGAACAGCCCTCATTGGGACATGATGCCGCCATAGCGATGGAGCTGCAGAGAGCCCTCGTCGCCGAGGTGGAAGCCGAGGGCTTCGAACAAGAATGCGAGAATGAAGAGTTGGCCCTCGCCTGGCAAGTGGCCGAGGAAGAGGCGTAGAGAGAGAGCGTGAGGGTCATCGTCGTTGTTCTTCCCCCTCGCGACGCTGGTGAGACCAGCACCTCTCGGCCATTGAACGCGGTCCCTCTCCGGGTGGCCCCCGGGAAGAAGAAGACGAAGGGTGCCGCTTCCAAGAAAAAAGGCAGTGTTGCAGACCAAGGGAAGCCCGTCGACATGCCCGATGGGTACTCCTACCTGAATACCGCCGCCCTCGAGATAAGGTCGAAGGCTGATGAGGCGGATTTCTACGTCACTCAGTTGCATGTGGGGCCTTCGGCCGTAGTGGTGGCACCAGGTCCTGATGATGTGCTCTCTCGGGCTCCCGAGGGTTGCATCGTCGTCCACATCCTATCAGTTTCAATGGGTCTCCGGTTCCCCCTGCACCCATTCCTTCGGGAGTACCTCAGGTACGTGGGTTTGGTCCCCTGCCAACTGACGCCCAACATCCACTCATACGTGGCGGGCTTTCTGAACCTTTGCCGGTCCCGAGGGGTGACCCCCAGCCTGGATTTGTTCTTCCAGAGTTTCAACCTCTGCTGGGGGGGTCACGCGAATGCCGAGGGCTTCGCGAACTTTCAGCAGGTGGCCTCGTTCAAGCTTTTCACTGAGGCGCCTTCCTCGAACAAAGGTTGGAAGGAGCGATGGTGCTACGTCAGGCTAGCTGAGAGCCACTTCCCGAGGGAGCTGCGCGACCGGTTTAGGCGGCATGAGAAGGTGAGGAGCGCCGCCCTCGAGAAGGATGGTAGGATTCTGTCCAAGATCCTGGAGGGTCGAAACAAGAATATAACCATCAAGGAGTGCACTATGGAGGAGGATCTCTATACCCTCGGGTTCCGGCGGTATCGCTTCTTGGGGGAAACAGATGAAAAGTACCTGGCGTTTGATGGAGCCTCCGGGGGTTTAGGAGGTAGCAGCCGAGGGCACCTTCATTTTCATACTTAGCATACAGTTTCGTTCCCTTTTTGTACTTTTATGCCATTTATTGATGACCTGTCGACCTAACCCTTTATTGTTTTGCAGGTATCCCGGTCTCCAAGGTGAACGTTAGGGGGCTTGCTGACCTCAAGAAGAAGTCCTCCAGGATTCCGAAGGGGATGGATGTGGGCACCCAGAAGCCCGCCGGTGACTTTTTTAAGAAGTTCGAGGGCCCGTCGACGGTCCCTGTTGCTGATGCTGTCGCCGCCGCGAAGAGGAAGGCCACGGGCAAGGCTCCCGAGGGGAAGAAGCCCAAAAAGGGAGATACCGGGAAGAGGGATCCTCCCGTGGTGATCATAGATGAGCGCTCCGCTTCCGGGACGCATGTGGAGATGCCGACGGCTGAAGTTCCGGTGGGTGTTGGGGAGCCACCCTCCGAGGTTTTGCAGGTTTCTCTCCCAAGGGGAACAGTCGTGATGAACTGCACGGTGGACCCGAGGGTGCTTTTGAGGGGCATGACCCTTGAGATTGACAGAGCCGCCCTCGGGGCTGATGATGACTTGGCCCTCGAGGACAAGATCCTCAGGTCTTCCCTCACTGTAAGTTTCTTCCTTGTTACCGTTCTACCTTGTGTTAGGATATACTGCACGGCTTTCCTAACTCCTTTGTACCTTACAGGCTTGCATTGCCCTCGGCGAACAGGCCCGGAGGCTGGAGGAGTGGCGCCTGCACAAAGCTGAGCAGGACGCGAAGATGAAGGAACTCGTCCGCCAGAACTTTGATGCCATCAGGCAGATGGCTGCGCTGGAGGAGAGCCTTCGGTAGATGACGCTGCGGGCGGAGGCCGATGACCGGGGCAAGGCCGATGCTGAGAGGTCCGCAGCTGAAGCCCTCGAGAAGGCCGCCAAGGATGCTGAGGCCGCCAAGGCGGAGGCCGTTGCGAAGGCGCGAGAGGAGGCCATCTACGGATTCTTGGCAGAGGGTTGGAAAGCCGAGGGGCACAAGCCATGGTTGTTCTCGGTTGTGGAGTCCTTCGTTGATGAGTGGTGCGACGGGCCTGGTGTAGAGTGGGTTTCCCGGAAGGGCCAGGAATATTATGATGGGGGTGAGTTCTTTACTCAGGCCCTCATCTACCGGAGGATGGCCCGTCATCTGAAAATTGACCTGAAGGACTTCGACCCAGCAGTGTATGGCCTCCCTCCCCTTCAGCCGGATGTTCGTGTTCCCCTCCCTCCGGATGTCCAAAGGCCAGATCTCGGACACAGAGCTGATGAAGGAGGTCGAGGGCGACGATGAGGAGGCTGGAGTAGAGGTCACCTCGAAGCCTGCTGAGGAGCCGAAGGCTGAGTGAAATTTGTACTTGGCGGATTTTTAAACACATTTTTTGTAATGAATATATGTATGCTTTCGGCATCAGCCCCTCTGTAATAGACATCTTAACTCCTCTTTCCCTTGATGAATGAATGTCTGCCTTCGGGCTTTTGTACCTTATTCATTTTCCTTTGAATGTTTTTCTTTGAATGTATGCCCTCGTTTTTTTGAATCTATGCCTTCGTTTTTCTTTGTGGATGAATGTATGTTTGTGCAGTATTCTGGCTGAGGGGCCAACTTTTAGGACTTAGAAAACATCTCTCTAAGTATAGTGCCTCCCGTAGCCCTCGGCTACTAGGCCCGTTTAGTCATCTGAATATTTCACCGAGGGCCCAACGTTCAGGACATAGAAATCTTTTCTAAGTGTTATTCATCTGTTGGCCCCCGGCTAATTCCTTCCATCTGGTTCTGTGTAGCCTTCATGAGATAACCGGAGGCAAGGCGCTTAGGACACTTAATTTTTTTTTTCTAAGTGTTTGAATACCGTCTGACCTTCGGTACGTGGGCACCCTTCGCTGCATGGGTATATAACCGAGGGCCCAACATATTTAGGACTTAGAAAATATTTCTAAGTGTAGTTTCACCAAGCCTTCAACCGTGTGGCCCCTCTGGCTGCGTGGAGATTTGACCGAGGGTCAAAACATTTAGGACTTAGAAAATATTTCTAAGTGTGGTTGTATGAGATAGGAGCCTTTGGGTGAATGTGAGAGTCTTGTCGTAGGAGTGCCTTCGGTTGACCGGTGGCTTGACGGGGGGCAAAGCATTCAGGACTTAGGAAAAATTTCCCTAAGTGTTGTTCAGTACCAAGCCTTCGAAAGCCAAGTATGTAGAACTTAGCGAAAATTTTTCAAAGTGTTGTTTTACTGAGTCTTCGGCTGCGTAGCCCCTTCGGCTGTCTGAGGACTTGGCCGAGGGCCAGGATATTTAGGACTTAGAAAATTTCTCCAAGTGTTGCTTGTCACCTGCCCTTCGGCCTACGCCTTCTCTTAGTAGTATTGAATAGCTTGGCCTTCATTGCATGATGGGTTGGTTGAGGGCCAACCATCTAGGGTTTAGGACATTTTCCATATTTCATGGTGAATAGACCCTTCGATTTGTAGTATCCTGAGTAAGAGATCCCTCGGTGAGTAGAAGTTGCCTTCGATCTTTGTTGATCAGAAGAGCCTTCGGCCCTTATCATGCTCCGAAAGTGCCGTGGGGATGTAGGTATCTTCGGCCTTATTTGAAATGTTGTTGAGTGAACCTATCAAGTTCTGTATGATTTGAACCTTCGGTTTTTTATGTATCTGGGGGCAATCAAAAAGTGGACTTAGCCATTTGTTGACGATACTTGTTGAATAGTATCCTTGGTAATTAGGAGCTTCCAGGTGCCGAAGGTGTTCCCGTGGGGAGCCCTCGGTATGTTCCCATGAATTTGTTGGAGTGGTGTACTCATTGATTTGTCGCTGAGTCTACTCCCCTTCACTCCCTCGTTTTTTTTGGTAGTGAAGGGAAGGCTTCAAGAAACTTGGTTTCTTGGCAAGGCTTGGCCTATCGGGAGGTAACAGAATACACCATTAGCTCCCCCCTCGGGTTAACCTTCCGAGTTCCGAGGAGATCGAGGGTCGTTTCCTGGGTACAAGACATGGTCTGTAGCCTGCCTCCCCTTGGGAGATGGCACGGAAAGCGCCTCAGTTTTGAAAGTCGTCTCCTCGGTGCCGGACATAGTCTGTGGCCTGTCACACCCTTGGGGTAGTGGTGCGGGGAGCATTTCGATTTGGAAGTCGAATCCTGGGCATATTAGATGCCTGCCAATCCCTTGGGGAAATGGCGCGGAAAGCGTTCCGTTTTTTAAAGTCGAATCCTAGGCATATAACTTGCCTGTCATACCCTTGGGGTAGTGACGCGAAAAGCGTTTCATGGAAGGGTTTTCATTTGCACACTGGTTGCAAATGGCCGGGGGCACTACGTGCTACCGGCACCGATAGGTGGCGCCTTCGGTATATGCGTCCTCGAGGGGTACGGCTTTAGAAACAACACTTGGTGTTTGTCTCGGTATACGGCCCCCGGTACTCGGTACCGAGGGGTCTTCTATAAAAAACATTTGGTGTTTTTACTTATTTGTCGTAGGTGATTGAGGTGTATATCCTCGGCACTTGGTACCGGAGGGTCTTCAAAGGAAACACTTTGTGTTTTTCTTCCGTATGTTGAAAGTTGATAGTAGTGTATCCCCCCGGCATTGGGTGCCAAGGGGTCTTCTGTAGAAACACTTGGTGTTCTCTTCCACGTTATGGGTGGCAGTATAGTCTACCCTCAGCATTGGGTGCCGAGGGGCTAGGGGTTGATATGAGGGCTTGGCCGCTCATAAGAGTCTCGTTCCATGTTCTTGGTGTCTTCAATATGCCTTCATTCTTCAAAAATTAGAGGCCTTGGGCCGTGAAATAATACATTCACTACGTATGAGGGCTTGGCCGCTCTAATGTTATTGATAAAATTTAACTAAGTGATGTACATTCCAGTGTCTAGGGACCTCGGTCCCATTGGGGCGTTTTAGTTTGTAAGTTCCTGGTTTGATGATGGCCGCCACGATGTAGGGGCCCTCGAACTTTGGTGCCATCTTTCCTCCCTCGGTTGGTTGGCTTGCTTCCCTTCTTCGGAGGACATAATCCCCCACTTGGAATTCCCGGGAGCGGACTTTGGTGTCAATGTAACTCTTCACTTGCCTTCGATAGTTTTCCGCGCGTATGAAGGCTTGCTCTCGGCGTTCTGAAATAAGGTGAAGGTCGAGGGCCATATTGGCGTCGTTGACCTCGGGGTCATACTGTGTGACCCTTCGGGTCGGAAGAGTTACCTCAGTGGGGGCCTTAGCTTCAAATCCGTAGCAAAGGGAGAAGGGTGTCTCGCCTGTTGCTCGCCGAGGGGTGGTACGGTAGGCCCATAAGATGTTGTGGAGCTCTTCTACCCAACCACCCCCTTCGGCCTCCAATTTCTTCTTTAGGCCTTCGAGCAAGGTCGTGTTGGCGTTCTCCACTTGACCGTTGCCTTGAGGGTAGGCAACGGATGAGAAGGTGTGTTTGATGCCCCATGCCTCTAGGAGGGCACAGAAGGGGGCTGCCTCAAACCGAGTCCCATTGGCGGAGATGATTTGCTGGGGGACGCCAAAACTTGTGAGGATGTTCTTGAGAACAAAATGACGGCACCTGGCCTCAGTAATGCTGGCGAGGGGCCTAGCTTCCACCCATTTGGTGAAGTAGTCGACGGCGACGATGATGTACCTGTTATTGGAGGTACCCCTCGGCAGAGGGCCCACAAGGTCTATGTCCCATCGAGCGAAGGGTATGGATGTGCTGATGGGGGCATAGTTGACCGCTGGCTTGTCGGGGGCTTTCTGGAAGTGCTGGCATGCGGTACCACCTTCGGGCGAGATCTACACAACCCTGGGCCATCGTAGGCCAAAAGTAGCCCTGTATTATTAGCCTTTGGGACATGGAGAAGGGTCCATGGTGAGCTGAACAAGTGCCACTGTGCACTTCCTCCATCGCAACTTCGGCTTCATCTTGATGAAGGCACCGAAGTAACGTCCCGTTGTACGATCTTTTGTAAAGCCTTCCGTCTTTGATAGTGTAGCTGGGAGCCCTCAGCTTTGCTAGCTTGGCACGGGCCTCATCCTCGGGCAGTTGCCCTGCGGTGATGAAGGCGACAATGTCTGAGATCCAGTCTTCTTGCCTTTGTTGTATGTGCATGATGGGGCTAGCATGTATGCTGGAGAGGCCGAGCTCCTCGATCTTGGCAATCTTTGAGATATGCTCAGGGGATTCGGTCGAGAGCTTTGATAAAATGTCGGCCTCGGAGTTTTGAGCCCTCGGTATTTGAGTAAGAGAGTGTGCCTCAAATACCTTAAGCAACTCCTTGGCCGCTTCTTTGTACTGCTTCATTCTTCCTTCCTTGGCTTCGTACTCCCCGGAGATTTGTCCTACGACTAACTTGGAGTCGCACTTGACGTGAATCTGTCGGGCCTTCATGTAAGCTGCCAGCCGAAGGCCACAGAGGAGGGCCTCGTATTCGGCTTCATTGTTAGAGACTTTGAAAGAGAAGCGGACTGCGTAATAGGCCCGGAAGCCTTCAGGTGAGATGAGAACCACCCCTCCTCCACATGCCTTGACGACGGAGGAGCCGTCGGTGTAGAGGGTCCACCAATCGCCCGAGGGGGCCGAGGGTTCCTCGTCCGCGGCCGATCTTGCTGTACATTCCATCACAAAGTCCGCTAGGGCTTGGCCCTTGATGGCGGGCCTAGGACGGATGTCGATGTTGTATTGACTCAGGAAGATAGCCCATTTTACCATTCGAGAGGAGCTGGTGGGGCTCCTCATCAAAGCACCGAGGGGTTGGTGAGTGAGGACCTGGACCGAGTGAGCTTGGAAGTAATGGCCCAACTTCTTGACAGTCCACACGATGGCCAACACCATTTTTTCCACAGGGGAATACCGGAGTTCTGCTTCCCTGAGGGTCTTGCTAACATAGAAGATGGCA